TTTCCGTGAACGGCGAGTAGCTTCCGTTGAATATTGTCACCTTGTAACATTTCTCTAGTCTGTGGAACAGCAGAACTCGCCGCCACTGTGCGATCGGCTTTGCGTACAGACTCTACTCCATTGGACATCATCAAAGGCGGACCTAACGTCAGCCTACATGTTGAGGCGTTTGGAATGTAGTGAAACTTATTGTCTAAATAATCTTCGTTGCAACTTCTAATAAATCCTTCTAAAACGTGCTCGAATTTTGAGACGACAAACGAACACGAAATTAGTTTTTGATTAGGCTAAATAGATTTCCCCTCTATAGGCAGTTCACATCTAGATACACTTCTATTGACCCCGAAAAGTCAAAGGCTTCTATTGATTCCGGATAGCAGCATAATTCCGCTGCGCAGTTCCCAACTGCAACTCTGAACGCAACATCAAATGACGTGCGTAGCTAGTTGACGAAGATCACCCACCAATCATCCGACAGTCCCGAGCAAACACAGACATAGCTGCGAGAAGGGTCTCAACCGCGTCATGAAACTGTTGTACATTTTCCGCCTCGAAGGAGCCGTGCCGAACACGCGATAACTCTGTGATAAACACCTGGCACGCGGCCATCCACAAGGTCTGTCATTCACTTGTCAATCCAGTTAGCATGGTAAAATTAGAGAAAGAGTTACCCCAACTATGGCATCGATGTATCCGAAATCACTCCTCAAATTAGTCTGCCGGATGAGCTCCACAACGGTCCTCGCAGCAGAGATGACACGCGACCGCGAGAGTTCATCCGTGAGGCAGAACGGATTGTGCAATTGAATAGTCGCTACCTGCGTTAGGGTATGAATGACAAGCAGCGAATGAGAGCCGTCCGTTTCTGAGTCCAAAGGTGGCAGCGTCTGCTTAAGAGTTTCAATGACTCTGTCGAGGTTCCTAAATTCGCTGGTGAACGTGTTGGAGTTCCGGTGCGCAGTATCTAATTGTATATGTATGCAAAGGGTCAGTATTGAGTCAGTGTCCAAAGTATCGAACGGGAGCAACCGAGCTTACTTTCGGTGAAACCTACGGCTAGCCGCGAGGCCTGCTCAAAGGCGATGGCGGCTTTGGCGTGGAGCGCAACTAAGGACGTTCCGTCGTCCGGAAGATTGGACAGGAAATTCTCAATTGTTGCGCTGCTGTGCAAAGGCAACACCTGAGACTGAGTTCAACATGCCGTTTGAACGTGAAAGCCAACAAACAACGGACGCACCTGAGAATCGGCGTGGATATCGAGTGGCCACGGTGTATCTACGACCGCATATAACACGTTCGGCGGTGAGCCGTCCGCCGTGAGCCAGGTATTATTCAGCGTTAGCACGGTCCAGAACGCGTTGATGCGGTCTCCCTCCCGCACATCCGAGTCCGCGGTGGTCAACATCAAATCAACCGCATCCGCCGAACGAATTTTGTGAAAGCCCGAGCTGAGTGCAATGGACATTGCCGCACTGGCGTGATACTTGCCCTCCAACATACGCGCATTATGGAAGAAATACTGTGCAAGGAGCATTTCGGCCTGCATTGTCTGTAGAATTGCATCGGGACAGTTATTATTCGAAAGGCTTCTGGCGGAGCTGCGTAGGGCGTCAGAGAGCAGGCTGGCCTTAGGTACTGTGTCGGACCGCGACAGATGCGCTCCCCACAGATAAATGACACCGAGCAGCGCGGGACACGCGAGCTGGATGGGAGCAGCGCCAGCTGAGAGAGCTTCGAACATTTGCGGATCCAAGAAAAATCTAAGTCGAGAGGAGTGCCGCAGGAAGCTGTCGATTCTGTCGTTCTGGTGAACATTTATCGAGTCATATAGTGGTTCAACTTACAGTGCCTCAAATAGTCCTGGGGACTGAGGCTTGAAACAGGGTTCAAGTAATCGTCAAACCGTTTTGGGAAAATCATACCTGTGGGGGGTGGTCTAGGCAAAGCAATTAGATGAATTTCATGTCCGTCAAAATGGAACAAACCCACATTGTGATCTCGATGCGCTAGGACCCGGACCAAACTCATCGAACCCTGGATTCGAAGAACTCGACTGATACGGGCGGTGAAGTCCGACAGACGTTCTCTCATTCGGTTTCTCGAGTTCTCGGATCCTGGACTCTATAATGGAAATTTTTTCTACCAAAAAAAATCAATCCCTTGTATTAGTCTTGGCAAATGCATGTTGCTACCTTCCAAGACTTGGGATTGTGCTAGGCCTGTCTCGGTGTATTCACAGTCATGGAGACCACCAGCGAGAAACCGAGCGCAAGGAGTGCAAACTGGTTTTTTTCCATCACATTTCTGGGTTGTTGTTGAACGTTGAACGTTGAGTATCAATTATGGTTCAATCATTAACAACCTACCACTTTGCGTCGTCTAAACCAATGATCAATCAAAATTGAACCCACGCACAATTATCAGACATGAATATTACCTGCAGTTAAAGCACGCTTGACTTTTGGAAAGCCTCGATTTCCGCGAGCTTTCTGGCGGATCCATTGAATGGAACTTTATTGTGGAGAAATCCACCGCGCCAACCCTGCCACTTATATACTCCGGTTCCCTGATAACGCTGAGCAAGAAGAGGACACCCATCACGCATCTTAGCGTCCGCTAGCATTCCGAGTTGCTCTGTTCATGAATGGTGGTGCTTACAAATGCTTGTAAATTGTGTTCAAAGTGGGGACCACAGTTCCCAGGGGCCAGGGTAGATTTAATCTCCGTGTTACAGGCCGGCGGCACAGCCTCGAAGCTGACGAAGCAACCGAAATGCCACTTTTCGGCTCCTTCAGCGACAGTTTTTGTGGTAGCGGCGTAGCCACACACCAATGAGGGAGACTATGGCCGCTATGAGCCTATCCCGGAGTGTTAGGAACTGCTGTCCAGGGCTGCGGCCATTGCAGTTTTCCGCTGGTTTTCCGTTAGTTTTCCGTTAGTTTTCCTGGTCGGTGGCAAGCGCAGAACCAAAGAATCTGTCAAGCTAGCTGACATGTCGTGATCGCGGTGTTCCATTTGCTTTCCAATGACCTCGAGCTGCACGTGCCGCATCCCAAAATGCCTTAGCCACTGTCTGTGTCACTATGTGAACGGAATCTTCCGCCCGCCGCCTCCGAGTCGAAAAGTCTCGAAAATGCCAAAGTGCCGTATCTTTCACAGCTGGCGCTGTTCTATTTTGTAAAAAAGCAACATTCGATTTCACCGGACTAACCTCTGAATCCGATTATCCGAAACTCTGTACACAGTCTAATAAAAATCAACGCACAAATTGAACCATATCTCGAGCGTAGTGTACGGCACACCTCCACCTCTTCACGTCTTTCTAGATCTGTGGGCGGATGATTTAGGTTCGACTCCTGCCGCTCGACTAGTTGAGTCCAGATCTGCTTTTTATTCGACCCATCCACTGTACAACTCACTGAGACTGTAACCGCAAACCAACTCAACCAACTGCGCACTGATAACTGAGAGGCATCCTCTTATTTTTGCCGCATTGAGACTTTGCGGAAAAAAAATGCAACATCGCACCGATTACCAGAAGTAGTAGTATCAAGTACAGCGGATATACACACAACGTCCAACTCAAGCTGAATATTCGAGCCTGGTGTACTGCGCTCCATCCTGTTTAGACAAATACTCCGTGAACAGGTGGAAGAACCGGGTTCGACTCCCGGCGCTCGACTTACATAATGGAGTCGTCGATCCTTCTTTTTCCCTTACGCTTCTTTCCAAGTACATAGCACGCTTAAAGTTTCTAATTCTTTGACCCCAAATTGATTCAGATCCATCACCGCCGCTACTCGAGTGCCGCTTTTCCCACAGTTGAAATTCTGTGTTGAATAAAATAACAACATCTATTTTCACCGCACTGTCTTCTGAATCCTAAACTCTGTACACAGTCAGTCCATTGATTTAATTCAACTTTCCAAACGAGCCAGATATCTCGAGCGTGGTGCACGGGGCACCCCCACCTCGCATCAAGGCTTGGTGTATAAACTTACGTGTAAGTGGAAGAACCGGGTTCGACTCCCGGCGCGCGACTGTCGTGGTTCAAGCCTTCTTTTTCCTACACTTATTTCTATGTAGCACGCTCAAAGCCTTTGGCCCAAGTTGATTCAGATCCACCGCCGCTAGTACTATAACTCGAGTGCCGCATTTTCAACCCACCGCTGAAATTCTGTTTTAAAAGTAACATGCAACATTTACTTTCACCGCACTGTCCTCTTCTGAATCCTGAACTCTGTGCACAGTGCGGGACAATTCAACGTGCAAAATAAGCCCGCAGATATCTCGAGCGTGGTGTATGGTGCAACCCCGCCTCACTTGGACTGAATGAAAATTATATGTAGGTGGAACTTGAACCGGGTTCGACTCCCGGCGCTCGACTGCATAGTGTTCTTCCAGTCTTCTTTTTCCTTCTTTCTATGTAGCACGTTTAAAGTTTTAACGAATTCTTTGACCCCCAATTGATTCAGATGTACTGCCGCTGGCCGTATTTCTCACCGTTGCAACTCGAATTCTGTTTCCAAGGCAACAATTATGCACAGTCCATTGAGCTAATTCAACGTACAAAATGACCCGGATATCTCGAACGTAGGGTACACTTCGCCTGGTGTAAGACATTGCCCACCCTATAGGCGGAAGAACCGGTTTCGACTCCCGGCGCTCGACCTCCATGTTTTTACTTCCACCCCAGTCGCCTCTCCGTCCTTGCCCAAATTCAATTTTTTTTGGACAAGAGTAATCTCCAAGGTTCAAATTGGTTACAGGCTGAGGCTCTTGATTATTTTGATTCCACAGTCATGATCACAAACCAATGCCTCCACACATAGTGCGGTATAGACTGGAATTCAGAATGCTGGCGACGCGTAAACCATGAGATGATATATCCTCTCAACTGAATGTGCCCAACTATAATTCCGTCGTAGCTATACACGTGCGGGTCCGGCCAGCCGGTAGTCAACTTTGGACCGAAGCAAAAAGATCAAATGCAAAAAGAACTCTCGACCTGGGAGTCGAACCCAGCTTTCGCGCGTAATCAAGCACCTGACGTTAGATGACAAGCGCGTGTACTAACCGATATACTAGTCAAGACATGTTGTGGAGATCAACTACTGCACTGAAACTGTCAAGATTGCCCTCTTGGGACACAAATAGACTGAAAAAAAAGTGGACAGTAGCCGATTTGTTTCCATGACAGACAAGACCATTTCAAGGCACCACCGTACTAAGCCACTGACGCTGTTAACGTTGCTCCTGAGAGACTGGCGCGAAAAGGCCGAAAGCGGAAGTGATTGCTTTGTCAGCGAATACCTCGTTTCATCAGCACTTTTCGCCCTTCAGGATTTGTGTGGTTTGCAAGGCCCTAGCGCTCGTACAAGAACAGGTCTCTCTCTGCCACATCCACCACCGTTTTCCCACTTTTTCCTGGTCTTTTTTTTCGCCTGTAATGCCGTCTGCAGACCGAAGCGACTCGCCCGATGATCGAGAAAAGGACGATGGCAGAGGGGGAGGCAAGAAATCCTCCGCGTCCAAGAGTACGCTACGACCTGGCCCTTTGTTTTTTCACCGTGCTGAATTCCGCAGCAGCGAAAGATCTGTCCCATGTGCCGTGCAAATTCTACAAGGTCGGCTCGTGCACCGCGGGATCCTCCTGTCCCTTCTCCCACAGTCTCGTCGAGCCCGGCGGCCAGAAGGACGTCTGCGCGTGGTTTGTAAAAGGCAACTGCAAGTTTGGCCACAAGTGTGCCTTGGCCCATGTCCTGCCCGGCCAGACGATGGCCATGGACCGCAAGAACAAAAAAGCTGCTCAGATCGCTGCCAGCGGTGCCAAAAATGGCGAGCCAAAGGGCCGCGGCGGGAACAAGCGCGAAGGCGGTAATGGCAGGAATGCTGCCAGTCTGCTCGCGGGCGGATCCACGGCGCCCACACGCGCAAGACCGCCCATGTCCCTCAAAGCCACAATATCGCCCTCCACCCCTGCCCCTCCTGTTAAAGACACCGATTTTGCGTCTTTTGGGGTCCTCGACGAGAGCAGCCAGCTCCCCACCGCCCCTGCCCGCAACAAGTCCCCGTCCCCGACCCTCACAAAACCGTCATCCCCTACCCTCCCTGTCTCCGCCCCGCGTCGCCCCAGCTTCAGCTCCCCCACCAAGGACTTTGGCCCCATCGGCTCTCCCCCGTCGTCGGCGACCTCGCCTTCATCCCGCATGCACTCAGGCACGCCACCAACCCAGGCCAATGGTTTCCTCTCCACTTCTCCCTTCTCCGCCCCTGGCTCCAAACCTCCGTTTATGGGGTACGGCGACAGCGGCCGCCAGGGTATGGCCGCCAGCTTGGGAAGTGGAATGGCCATGGGCGGCGGCCTCGCCGGCTGGAACGCCAACGGGAATCAGGTCTCGTCGTCGCCCCTGCGCGGATCACTACTTTCTGCGGGCAGGATGAACGGCCGCCCTACTAACGGCGACTACGACATCTCTGTCGAGTACGAGGAGCTCGGCGTAAAGACGCGGCGGAAGCCCACCCTGGAGGATTCGGAGGACCTCGAGGAATTCCTTCCGAGCTCCCTGACGGATCTTCTGACGCCCGAGGAGCGCATGCGGCGTATGTCGAGGACCAACTCTGGGCAGTCCCCAGGGATCGAGAGCTCGTCGCCGCATCGACACGGCCTCGGTGTCCCTTTGGGACATAATGCAGGCGCCGGCGCCGGCGGGGGCCACCGCTACTCGCGCTCTGTCCCCGCTCCGTCCCTCCTCGGCGGCGACCTCAAATCCATATGGTCCGAGGGGCCCCCGCCGCCCCATGCCCACCCCCAAGCGTCCGGCCTGCCTGGCTCTCCCATGGGTATCGGCCCCAGCTCCTATTCCTCTGCCTCCGGCTTTGGCGGTCGCGAATTCGACGGCGCCCCCTCCTCCTTCGCCGAGCGCACCCTCCCCTCGCTCTCCCCTAGTAACGCCAGCGCCGCCTTCCTCCCCGGCATCCACCACTACATCGCGCAAAACAAGCAGCAGGCCGGCGCCGGCGTGCGCACCACGAGCAACCCCGGAAACCCCAACGGCGGCCCCTTCGCCTCCAACGCCGCCGCGCAGCAAGGCCCGCCCGGCATCGCGCACTACCTCCAGTCCGGGCCCTCGGGCGTGCACAACGCGATCAACAACCACGCGCCCTCGCCGTACGTGCGCCCGAACCCGTTCGACCTCACGCAGCAGGCCCACGCGCCGCACCCGGGCGCGCACAACGGGCCCCCGCCCGGCATCGCGCCGCACCCCCAGCACGCGGGCCTCCCCGGCGCAGGCGACACGCACATCCTCTCCCCCAACGCGCGCGCGCTGCAGGCGCACGCGCCGGGGCAGTCCCTCCCGCAGGGCCTCGCCGCGGGGTACTCGCGCATCCACGCGCTGCCCCCGCTCCCGCCCACCGCGGGCTCGCCCTCGCCCGCCGCGTTCGGCACCTCGCCCGGCGCGAATGCCAACGGGTACAACGCGTCGCGCGACTGGGCGACGATGAGCACGGGGAGCGTGAGCGGCAGCCCGGGGTTCATGAGCTTCATGAAGCCGCCGCAGGCGCCCGCCTCCACCGCTGCCTCCACCGGCGCGCCGCCAAAAGGCGTCGTGGCGAGCCCGCCGCCCTCGGCCGGGCTCGACTCGATGTTCTCGCAGCGGTCGTACTCCGCCGCGACGCGCACGAGCGGGGTGCCGACGCTCGCGGCGCCGATGCAGCGCAACGCAAGCGGGGGCCCAAAGTGGCAGGGCGGCGCGCCGATGAGCCCGCTCGGCGGGCCGGCGGTCACCGCTGCGTCTGCAGATGACGGGGACGACCTGTTCAGCCTCGACGATTAATCGGAATCACCTTGACCGCCCCGGCGGACGGTACCTCTACTTATCTATCTATGTATATAATTAATCCCGTCCGTCCGTCTTGCTTGGGTTGTCTTCCTTCCGCCCTCCTCCTCCTTCCTCCCCCTCACGTACTCCATCCATATCTCACACCGCTTGGTTTCTAACGCCCCACTTACGATCCCCTCTACATCTGTTGTGTGTTTACTAAGTACCCCGTCGAGTTCCCCTGCTCTGTCTCTGTCTCTTTCTCTGCCATCTTCTATCTCTGTTCTCTCATCCTCATCCCACCCTACCTAAGTACCCGCACTCACATCCAAATCCACATCCGCACCCGTAACCGTATCTATACACCCACATCCTACGTACCCTATCTATATTCCGTACGCACGCGTAACGGACTGACGGACTGTAGCGGCTGCAAAAAGCATCTGGCTCGGGCTCGTTGTCGTGTAGTAGTAGTATTATTACTTTCCATAGTCCTAGCTAGACAAACAATCCAATCCAAAATTATTTTCTCTCCATTTGCGCGTTCTTCCTTCAGCCCTCTTTCTACGTACATACTACGGCAGGACTCGACACTTGGAACCTGTCTCATTCTCATCCTACGTGCGACACACGCGCAGGTCAAAGAGGGCGTCGCGCGTTTCATGGAAAAAAACTGGTTGCTAGTAGTAGACGCGACGGAGTACTGTTGCTATGTTGGATAAGTACAGGGTTAATCCTCAAGCCTGGACCCCAACGTCCGTCATCCCTTTTCTGCCATCGACTCTTCTCGTAGTTGTCTCGTCTTTCCACGAGGCCCGGAATAAGTTGGTCAACTTTCGCCCAAACATCCGCAAACGGGTAGGTATCATGCAGAAAGGCCCTCAATTCCGAGAAAAGGCCTACTAGGAAATCCGCAACGGATTCGGCCGGTTCCCGATATCGAGGCTGCAGAGGCTCGGTCGGGACACCCCCTCCACGCGCTGCGGCACACTCGACGCGTCGAACGCGAGGTGGAGCTCCCTAATCCGGTCGCAACCCCGCGCAAACGACACGAGCGCCAGAAACGTGCATCGCGGCTCGTGGTCGGGGTCCCCCGATCTGAGACGCAGCACCTCGATGCGCGGCCAGGCACGCGCCATGGCGGCTGCAGTCGTGTCCCCCAGGTCGTGGTTGCGATGTCCAGGATCTGAAGGTGGGGAAAACAGAAAAGGGTGCGCGGGGGCCGGCCGGGATGGGGGCTGTCGACGCTGATGAGGAACGCGAGACAGGTGAGCTGAGCGTGCTGGCAGTGCGTCACGAGGAGGTCGTAGAACTCTTCGTCCTGTGCGACATCCCCGTTGCTGTCCGCTTCGAACGAGTCCAGCGCGGGGTTGCCCCGCGTGCGCATGAATGCCAGCAACGGTGTGAGGTGACGGCAGTGCATTCGACGTTGCAGAGGCCGGAAAACACGCTGCTGTCGGGAACGCCATCCAGGATCATTGAGTCGTCGGGGATTGTAATGTGCAGGGTTTGGAGTAGGGAGATGACTTATATACTTGAGTGCCGTGGAATCGACGGTGCTGGGCGTGAGAGACTCCACGCGCGTCAATGTCTGGACAAGACGCGATACCCGGCGGTGAAGTCGCTCCTCAGATTCCGCCTCCGTCACTGAAGAGACTGCCAATGAAGTCAGTCCAGAACACCGCCCTTCGAGCATAGTGAGTCCTGGGTTAGTGGGTTCGACATCGCAGTGCTCGTAAACATAAGCCGGTCGTGAGTCTCAGGATACGACCCTGCAGGTTCAGCTCTGACATGATAAGCTCCCCAACTCCCGCGATCTCCAATGCATACTTGGGCAAGATCAAGATGACTTCGAATCCGATCGAAGTCGGCACGAAAAATAGAATGGACAGGTACGAGAGGAGGCGAGCGACGAGGGGCAGGCAACATGCGGTGGTAAGAACTTAAGCACTAAGAAGTGGCAGGTGAGGTGTTGTTTGGATCGAACGACTCGGTGATCTCGGCGAGTTGAAAGTTGAAACTTCCCGCCATAAAACGTTTTTCGAAATAAAAATTTATATTGCCTGCGGAGAATTATTATAACCAACTACAGGCGTAAGCTATCCCATTCGAACCCATCTTCGAAGAAATTAGTGAGAACCCCGAGCGGACGCGGAACAGGTAAACGAAAAGACCCGAATCCTAAAACGGTTACACTCACGCCGTCTGCCATATATGGTAAATCCATTCGTAGAGAGGAAGACGTCTGGAAATTTAGAATGTGGCGCGTTC